TGTCCTCTTCCACCACTGAGAATAGTCTAGAACCATCCTCTCTGGAACTACCTCTCAGGTAGTTGAAAGCAGCTATCAAATCCCCCCTCATTCTTCTCTTCTGCAGACTAAACAATCCCAGTTCCCTCAGCCTCTCCTCATAACTCATGTGTTCCAGACCCCTAATCATTTTTGTTGCCCTTCGCTGGACTCTCTCCAATTTATCCACATCCTTCTTGTAGTGTGGGGCCCAAAACTGGACACAGTACTCCAGATGAGGCCTCACCAATGTCGAATAGAGGGGGATGATCACGTCCCTCGATCTGCTCGCTATGCCCCTACTTATACATCCCAAAATGCCATTGGCCTTCTTGGCAACAAGGGCACACTGTTGACTCATATCCAGCTTCTCGTCCACTGTAACCCCTAGGTCCTTTTCCGCAGAACTGCTGCCTAGCCATTCGGTCCCTAGTCTGTAGCTGTGCATTGGGTTCTTCCGTCCTAAGTGCAGGACCCTGCACTTATCCTTATTGAATCTCATCAGATTTCTTTTGGCCCAATCCTCCAATTTGTCTAGGTCCCTCTGTATCCTATCCCTGCCCTCCAGCGTATCTACCACTCCTCCCAGTTTAGTATCATCTGCAAATTTGCTGAGAGTGCAATCCACACCATCCTCCAGATCATTTATGAAGATATTGAACAAAACCGGCCCCAGGACCGACTCCTGGGGCACTCCACTTGACACCGGCTGCCAACTAGACATGGAGCCATTGATCACTACCCGTTGAGCCCGACAATCTAGCCAACTTTCTACCCACCTTATAGTGCATTCATCCAGCCCATACTTCTTTAACTTGCTGACAAGAAGACTGTGGGAGACCGTGTCAAAAGCTTTGCTAAAGTCAAGATACAATACATCCACTGCTTTCCCTTCATCCACAGAACCAGTAATCTCATCACAGAAGGCGATTAGATTAGTCAGGCATGACCTTCCCTTGGTGAATCCATGCTGACTGTTCCTGATCACTTTCCTCTCATGTAAGTGCTTCAGGATTGATTCTTTGAGGACCTGCTCCATGATTTTTCCGGGGACTGAAGTGAGGCTCACTGGCCTGTAGTTCCCAGAATCCTCCTTCTTCCCTTTTTTAAAGATTGGCACTACATTAGCCTTTTTCCAGTCATCCGGGACTTCCCCCGTTGCCACGAGTTTTCAAAGATAATGGCCAATGGCTCTGCAATCACAGCCGCCAGTTCCTTTAGCACTCTCGGATGCAACTCGTCCGGTCCCATGGACTTGTGCACGTCCAGCTTTTCTAAATAGTCCCTAACCACCTCTTTCTCCACAGAGGGCTGGCCATCTATTCCCCATGTTGTGATGCCCAGCACAGCAGTCTGGGAGCTGATCTTGTTCGTGAAGATAGAGGCAAAAAAAGTATTGAGTACATTAGCTTTTTCCACATCCTCTGTCACTAGGTTGCCTCCCTCATTCAGTAAGGGGCCCACACTTTCCTTGGCTTTCTTCTTGTTGCCAACATACCTGAAGAAACCCTTCTTGTTACTCTTGACATCTCTCACTAGCTGCAACTCCAGGTGCGATTTGGCCCTCCTAATTTCATTCCTACATGCCCGAGCAATATTTTTATACTCTTCCCTGGTCATATGTCCAACCTTCCACTTCTTGTAAGCTTCTTTTTTATGCTTAAGATCCGCTAGGATTTCACCATTAAGCCAAGCTGGTCGCCTGCCATATTTACTATTCTTTCGACACATCGGGATGGTTTGTCCCTGTAACCTCAACAGGGATTCCTTGAAATACAGCCAGCTCTCCTGGACTCCTTTCCCCTTCATGTTAGTCCCCCAGGGGATCCTACCCATCCGTTCCCTGAGGAAGTCGAAGTCTGCTTTCCTGAAGTCCAGGGTCCGTATCCTGCTGCTTACCTTTCTTCCCTGTGTCAGGATCCTGAACTTTCTTTGCTAACTGGGGTTTATTATTTATTGAGCATCCAAAAATGCACTAGGTGTTCTATAGAGTAAATAGAAAGACATAGTCCCTACCCCAAGATGCTTACAATCTAATTTTAGACATGATGCAATGTGTGGGAGTAACAACCAATAGGGAAGGGTTAGGGTGAAGGTTCCAGCACTGAGGCCATGCAGTTAGTCTGTACAAACATGTGTACATCCTGATGGCTCAATGCAAATTTTTAAATGATTATTTATTATTAACATACTCTCAGAGAATGCGTCTCCACCTCAAACCTTAGCGCCCGCATTACAATCCTTAAAGCAGGCTTTGCCTCAGCTATTCCTCATGGCATCAGCCATACCCCATTCAGGCATGTAACCTGGCTACTTTACACCGGTGGCACATTTCAGTAAGTGTCTTGTTTTTCTGGCTGTTACAGCCTCTTATATTCCCCATCACTGCATCAGAGTTTCATATGGCGCACTCCAGCCACACATGTCCTGAATATGATTAATACAGTGTGCGGTTTGCTGGATAGTTTAACCCAGAAATTTAAGCTTCTGTCTATCTTAGGACTTTATACTGCCACCCATCACTGTAGTTTCTGAGCACCCCTTCCCCACATGCACTGTGCCCTTGCTCCTCTCCCCCAGTGCCTCCTGACACCGTGAAACATCAGATCCATGGCATGCGACGGGGAGGCACTGATCGGTGGGGCTTGCCAGAGGTGCTGGGGGGAAGAGGAGGTTCTGGTAGGGGGGGCTCCTTCTCCCCCTCCCCCGCCCACCTGCCACTTGCCTCCCTGTTCACCTCCTCACCGCACTCACCTGCCCACCTCCCGCCTCATCTCTCCACCCATGGGGACCCCCAAAGCGTGGAGTCCCGATTCGCCATACCCAAGGGACGTGTCTGGGTGAAAAACTGGTTGACAGACCATACTCAGAGTAGTTATCAATGGCTTTCTGTCAAACTGTGAGGGCATATCTAGTGAAATTTGGCAGGGGTCAGTCCTGGGTCCAGTACAAGTCAATATTTTCATTAATGACTTGGCTAATGGAGTGGAGAGTATGCTTTATAAAATTTACAGATGCCAACAGTCTAGGAGGGGTTGCAAGCCTTTTGGAGGATTGTTTTGAATTCTAATGCTATCTTGACAAATTAGAGAATTAGTTTGAATGTAACAAGATGAAATTTAATACAGATAACTGCAAAGTACTACACATAGGAAGGAATGATTTGGGAAGAAGAGATTGTGATTCATATGCTGGCAAGGCCTTTTTGAAAAGGAAGGTTTTGCAGGGTTTCCTAAAATGACCATATTCTGAATTCTCCTAATCTCCTCTGAAAGTCCCTTCCATAGCTGGATCCCCTTACCTGAGGGTGTTATCCACAGTTTGCACACACTTCACCCTGCGGTTTCAGCTTTGCATTGACCCATAGGACCACAACTGTCTCAGCGATTCAGTGATCAAAATTTGGTATGTAATATAGCTGGGACTTTAAAAATTAGAACCAGAGATTTAAGCTGGTATCAGAAGCTGACTGGGAGCTGGGAGAAGGACTTGAGCACAAGGCCTGAGAAGGCAGGCAGTCACCTTCTGTACCTGATGGAGCCTGTGTGTTGTCTTCACATTCAGCTTCAGCCACAGATGCTGGAACTAGGAGTGCTGCTGCAACCCCTGGCTTGAAGTGGTTTCCATCATAGACAGGGTTTACAGTTTGGTTCAGTGGCTTTCAGCACCCCCACTACGTACATTGTTACAGCACCCCCAGCTTCAGCATCATTGTCTTTGAATTTGTTCCACATGTTTTAATAAAAACACCAGGGGTCAGCTGATGTAGGCTCGGGGCGGTCAATGGAAGCTGCTGGGTGCTCAGCACTCACAGAATCATAGAATATCAGGGTTGGAAGGGACCTCAGGAGGTCATCTAGTCCAACCCCCTGCTCAAAGCAGAACCAATCCCCAACTAAATCATCCCAGCCAGGGCTTTGTCAAGCCTGATCTTGAAAACCTCCAAGGAAGGAGATTCCACCACCTCCCTAGGTAACCCATTCCAGTGCTTCACCACCCTCCTAGTGAAAAAGTTTTTTCTAACATCCAACCTAAACCTCCCCCACTGCAACATGAGACCATTACTCCTTGTTCTGTCATCTGCTACCACGGAGAACAGTCTAGATCCATCATCTTTGGAACCCTGTTTCAGGTAGTTAAAAGCAGCTATCAAATCCCCCCTCATTCTTCTCTTCTGTAGACTAAACAATCCCACTTCCCTCAGCTTCTCCTCGCAAGACATGTGCCCCAGCCCCCTGATCATTTTTGTTGCCCTCCGCTGGACTCTTTCCAATTTTTCCACATCCTTCTTGTAGTGTGGGGTCCCAAACTGGACACAGTACTCCAGATGAGGCCTCACCAGTGTCAAATAGAGGGGAATGATCACATCCCTCCATCTGCTGGCAATGCCCCGACTTCTACAGCCCAAAATGCCATTAGCCTGCTTGGCAACAAGGGCACACTGTTGACTCATATCCAGCTTCTCGTCCACTGTAACCCCTAGGTCCTTTTCTGCAGAACTGCTGCCTAGCCATTCGGTCCCTAGTCTGTAGCAGTGCACGGGATTCTTCCGTCCTAAGTGCAGGACTCCTGAAAATCAATCCATTTAAACAGAGGCCTACCTATGGCCTTCAGAACCTAACTTGGTCTTCAGTATGATTTTGTTCTCCTTTTTGTTAAGGAGCAGCTCCATTATGCAAGTAGTTTTGCTGATCCTCAAGGGCGGTTGCTTAAGGCTAATACTCTATGTTAAAGATAGTTGCCTTCCTTTTGCTACCAGGGACTCTGTAAGGCAATCACCCTGTTACCAAAACTGGTTCACATTTCAGCTTCTGTTTCCTTGAACTCTGCGACAAAACCTGTGAGACTGGTCCCTGTGTATTCTATGTTTCTAATTAATATTTATTATAGTACTATGTGTCTAATTATATAATATACACACATGAATGCAGAAAACTCCCTGTCCCATTTTCCTGGATTGAATAATAGTCTGGAAACAGAACTATAATTATAGAGGTTTTTTTATTAGAGAATTTATCTAAAATACATATTCATTTCTTCTTTAAATTATGACATATTATTTTAATGGAAAGTTACTCTGTATTATATCTATGGGAATTAGTTTTATAAATATTTAATTTAAGACATTTTGTAATTTAAAAAAACACACTAACATTAAGACATAATTGAGGTTGATGATACCATGGCTAAAAATGTAAAATTTAAAAAATATTTACACATCAATTTCTTAAAATCTAAGACATTTAATAATTATTAATTTGCTTTTCACTGCCTATGTTGACACAACTTAATCTCTTAAATCACATTTAAAATGTCCAAATTATTCTGTATTCCTGTGCTTCCAAAAAGCTTCACATTACTGAGTACAGTTAGTTATATGTACCATCACCTGTAGATGAGGTTACTTAAAATGGCTTATTTTGCGGTCATTATGCGCTTTGCCAAACAGTCAAAGTGTCAGTCACAGCAATTATCAAACACCACACAGATTTCCCCTCTCCCCATACCTTAAGACCCTTTTTTCTCTTGGTCTAGGGTCTTTCACATTTCATTAGCCAGAACTTCAGATGCTGAATGGAAGAAGCGAGAGATCTAGGAGAAGAAATGTTGCCAGTGCACAGCTAGCAAAGGTTTGATTTGTGCTTAGCAGAAAGGACTCCTCCCTCACAAACACAGCAATTTCTTATGAGCTCAGTGCTTAGCTCATTGGAATGATGCTCTAACTTCTCTGCCCTTCAGAGGCTGGCATGGACGCCAGTTGTCCATCATATGGTATGGGGGCTCATTCTCAGCACTGAAGCAAAGGCCACGGAGTTTGCACAGCTGGAGAAAAAAGAAAGGATCAACATTAACCTTCAGATGCATCCTCATGCCTCCGGCAACCTATTTACGGTATATACTGTGAGCCAGAGACAGTACAACTCTTAGGGTATTGGGAAAGGTGGCTTAAAGATATCTAAGTGATCACCCCCCTCTTTGTTTTGCTGGCCAAGGAACTCAGTGCAAGGTGTTTCACCCAAACCCTTTCCTGCCCCTGACATGTTCTTTTTGGCCATCGACATGCCATCTGTGCTGGTAGAGCTGGGAAAGAGTGGTATAGGTTTTATGGAACTTTTGAATCACAGGAACTTCACAAAGGGGCCAGAGCTGGCTCTGTGTTTGTTCCAGGTCTATAGATTAATTGAACACTTGGCTATTTTGAAAGCTGAAACTCTTTTGACAGTTTGATTTTTTAAATAACATTTACTTGATCCCTTTCTCATACTGGTGTAATTCAGCAATTACTTCAACAGAAGTCAGTGAAGCTATCCTGGGGTTAAACTGGTATGAGAAGAGAATAGATCTCAATTTCCATGGGAATGTATAGTAAGAATGTGACGGTCTATCCTAAAGCATGATCTGCAATTTCATAGCCCTCTAAAATAGAACCATCTCTGTGTATAATTGTGCCATAATACTCTTCTGTTCCAAAGGTCCCTTGGGACAGCCAGGCCCTGAAATATCTGAAGTAAATGTGCGGTTTCCCAAGCAGTAGGACATTTACCCTACACAGTGTTTATTCATGTACTTCCATTAAAAACAAGTCTTGCTCTGCCACCTTTGAGGTACCTGCTAGAATAATCAACACACAGGAGACTCTTTAGATGTGGTCCATAGGGAGCTGACTATGTGTGATTTTTACACATACTTCAGCTCATTCAGAACTAACTGCAAAACCCAGCCCTCCAGGACACCATGTGGATTTGTCACAGGTACTCAGCTATTCATGCTGCTTTCTCATGTGTGACAAAGGTCAGACAAATATAATTCAATGCAAGTGACCAGCAGGTTAGAAATAGTCCTCATTTTAATTAACTGATTCGGGACACCATGTCTGAAAACACACAGCAATAGAAATTGCTGACAGAAGGATGCGAGGGGGCTGCAGCATTTGTACAGAATGGTTCTGTAGACATAAAATCATGCTACGCTCTGATTGGCAAAGAGCTGCCTTACGAGAGGCTTTTAACTTCACTGAGAGACATGGTACATAGCTCAGAATGCTGCAACCCTACGTGTTCCAATAATCAGTAATTCAGTATAGCAATTCTTATGGATTTGCTATCCTAAACCTCCTCCTCCTGACAAATATTCAAAATCTGCCTATCTTTAGAAAAAAACAGTTGCCAATTGTGAATTGAAGTCCAGTGAAAACATTCCCAACAGATGCTAAATTTTAGGATTTCCTTTTTTCCCCAAGCTGTTTTATGGTTTCTTGATTTGTTCAGCATTTAGGAATGACAAAATACATGATATGTGCAGCTTTGGTCTTGAGTAGTTGGTTTTGAAAGGTGCAATGTGATAAATGGATTTGTGGATGGGAAGAGATGGAGGATGGCTTTCATAAGGGAAAAATACTCATTTATGTTGAGTATTTCCCCTCTCCTCTCTCCCATGTTGTAAAGCTACATTCATGTCCCCTTGATCATCAGTAATAGTTCCTGTGGCTTTAAACACAGATGTCAAGCTAAGACTCACTCCAAAGCCTCTTATTAGTAGTAATAGATACTGTAGTTTAATGAACATTTCCAATAGTTCATCCTCTTCCTTTCCCCTGCACTTTTATTAAATTATGCCCAGCACCAGATCACAGCTTCTTTTCATCTCAAGTCAATAAAGAAACACAATTATTTGATTTATTGTTAGAGCAATAGCCATTGGTAAAATTGATGTAAGCCTGTGAGGGTAAACTAAAGCCCTTCAAATATGGCTTATATTTATAGACTCAAGGGTCCTATTTTTATCTTCTTAGCTAAACCACTGCAGCCCTGAGGATGAAACTTGAATCTACACAATTTCATTAAGGAATGGTGCACAGAACTAATGCCCAGAGACACGCAACTTGTCAGTGCTCTACTCTGAGAGCATTTGCCAGTGTCATCAGGCTGCATGATAAAAGAGTTTCTTGAGATAAAATGCAAACTTCTGGAAGCTGCAAATTTTCTGCATTCCAAGCAATGGCATTTCTTCTTGACTCCTGTCCTGAGTAGCAGCAAAGTCCACTTCAACACACATATGAACACAGTTACCAGAGAGGGAGAAAAAAAACATTTCAGATATGCATATTGAACCAATGATTCATGATGCTATCTTCTCTTTCACAAAGCTTTGCAATCGGACTCTATTCTGTCCAAGTAATGTAAACTGCAGCTTCAGCAGAAGATCCCACTGAAGTCTAAACGAAGGCGAATGAGAGTATTTTCATATAGAAAAATGACCTTTAGCTACTGAAGATTTACCTGTTCTGGACTGACACTGATGGGTTCTCTCAGAACATGCCAGATAACGCATTCAAGTAGAGGGGGAGTGGTCAGCGAACCTTGGTAAGTCCAGTAATCCAGGGATGTGGGAAGCAGATTCTTGGGATCATAGTTTGTGAAGGAAGCTTGCTTGCCCTAAGAAGATAGAACGGCCTGTTAAAACTGTGGTGTAAGACTAGTTGGAAAATACACACCTTGCTTGCATTAGTGGAGCTAGTTAAGGGAGGTTTGATATTTCTTGCCAAGTGTGTCCCCTGCTTTAGAAAGAGAGAGAGAGAGAGAGAGATGGATGCTAATTCTGAACAGTACTGAGATCCTCCTACAATTTGCTGAAAACTGTTGGGGTTAAAGTTGCTTAGCACCTTCCAGGATCAAGCCCTCCATCCTTGTTTCAAATGTCTAAAGTTACTGCCTCTTCCTCTAAAAACATCCACAATCTATATCCCATGCATAGATGGCAAAAGAGACAGAGCAAATATAAAAATTTGTGGGTCTGGTTCGTTAATGGCCAAACTCATCGACTTCAGTCATTAGTGTAACTCATCTGATTTACACCAGGCATGAACCTAGTCCAGCATAACAACTATGGACTCCACTGCAACTGAAAGCCAGAAGCACACGATCATAATGGTATGAAAACATTATTTACATAAATCCTTTCCGATTGCTGATGACCTACAATGCTGTATATCTTTTATTAGCCTAATTTAAAAAAAAGCATTTGAGCTCTCGTCAGGGTAGGGATTACAAAGGTGTCAGTGCTGATGACATGGAGAGCTGTTCTACTGTAGTACTTGCATATAGCAAGCAGAAGTAAGGAACTTCAATTTTGCACTTTTCAAGAAGAAGACTATAGAAAACAGCTGTGCTTGTTGTCAGTTGGCATAGAGATCATATACTACCTTGGTTTGAATGGAGTCTAATGCATCGATAACTTTCTGTATCTCAGGCCTGTCACTTCCCGCCTATAATGCAAACCACATGAAAAGAAAGTAAGTAGGTGCATATGTGCTTGCTTAGATTTACCACCATAGTTAACTGAAGACACCATTTTAAATTAGATCACCACAGCACCAATTAGTTTCATAGAGATTTCTCATAATGCTGAATGATGAAAGTGGCTGTGCCCTCACATTGTAAAGCATATGAAGTTTGCCAGTCAGCACAAGCCATTTGTGCTGACTAATCTGCAGAAGTCAAGGATTGTGGGACAGAATAAAATGATTTTCTTTTAAGGTATGTGGATTTATTATTGGACTTTAAATTTGACTTCTGAGAAATGAACAGTTAAACTCCCAACAAAACCAGCATGACCAGAATAGAGGGAGCATAGTAGAGACAAATCATCATCTTTAGCTGGTTGTGTATTTCTCAACCTTTATATTAAGCCAAGGTAATTAATGTGGCACAAAACATCCTGCCATTGAGGAGTGACAAATGAAAGGGAAAATAGAGGTTATTTATGCCTGGTTTACACAGTTTTTATACCGTGTGATTTTTTTTCATGGCATACTTATACCAATACCACCACCCCTAATGTGGACACAATTATATTGGTATAAAGGGCCACAGACCAATATATCTTACTGCTTTTCATACAGTAGGACTTAGTGAGTATAGGCACCTTTATACCAATATAACTCTGGGGGGAAGTACCTCTTTAACTCTACGGTATTTCTAGACCAGTACAACTTCTGGGTGTAGACAAGGCCTTAGACTGTAATCTTGTTGGGATGGGGGCATGTTTTAGTTCTGTGTTTGTATTGCAATAGTGCTAGGTGCTCCATCATAGTAGGTGCTGTACAAACAATACATTACTATAATAATAAGGTGATTGTTCAACTAACCTGCAGAAAAACGCCTACCACAGTCAAGCCATCAGGATGCTTCACAGCTTCATCAAATCTACCATATTTTGTGTTCCAGTGAACCAGGTGAAGCTAGAATCCAGTAGACAAGAGACATTTATAAACAGCACCTTCCATCTAACAGAGCATCTCAACTAATAGATGACCATTTACCAAAAACATTAACACAGATTGTGTTTTACTGCTGAAACTTGAAGAGTTTTGCATACAGCTCTGAAATTGTTGCATCATTGATTTGCTTTTATGTCTCTTGTAGAAATTTGTGCAATAGATATTTATAAGAAGAAGTGCTTCTCATACTTATTTTCAAAAACATTTTCTAAATGCCAAGTGTGGGCCATATCTTGCAGTCCTTATTCTGGTAAAACTCCAGTTGACTTCAGTGGGAATTTTGCTGAAGCAAGGACTGCAGGATTTGGCCTAATTTTAAATCAAAGTATTCTGTCCTTTTTTTTTTTTTTTTAAAGGATATAGAGTTAAACATGCTCTAAATAAACTCCATTGACTTAGGGGAGTTATACTTGTTTACACTATGGCTGAGTTTGGCCTGCAAATTTTAAGGTAATGCCTTAAAAAAGACAGCTCCTGGAAAACTTTGGAGGACATTCTGTTTGGAAATAAATGTACCTCTGCATCAATCTAGTTGGTTTGCTCTTCTTTTTTGTTTTTGTTTTCTTAGTTGTTTTTAGGGCTATTAAGATGAAGACAGGATTTTGATTCTTCTAAGCTCATCTGCTCCTGCTGCTTATTCCTCATTTGAAATCATAACAATCTGTGCCATCATAACTATCTGCACAGGAAGTTCAGCAGCTAATTATGGTGCCACAAGCAGAATTTTATAATCTTTGTATAATCCTACAAGGTGCTCAGAACCTTCAGAAAGTTGAAAGATGCTCGGTACCTCGTGAAAAAGAAGCAGAAGCAGGGCAGGTGAACTCTCAGACCAGATTGTCACTGGCCCTGCATGGGTGCACAAGGGATAGGAAAAGAAAGGGTGCAAGGAGCTACTTCTCTTATACTCCAGTGCAAGAGCCAGTCACAATTCCAATCCTTGTGCTACCTTAGTGCAAGAATTGGGAAATGCCACCTCTGCTGCCACTGCTAGACTTCCAAAGCGGACAGAGAGGGGTGAGATAGTTAATCTAGGGCTTTGTCCTCCTTCCGCTCCAGGAGCAGAGTAGAGATGAGCGTAGCAAAGGGTAGTGCAGCAACTGCTCTAGCATGCAGTCCTATAGGGGTCCCTGGCTAGGTCAACCAAAATGTCTGCTTGAGGTCCCACTGCTGTATGTCCCCTCCACAGTTCCTCTTGCTCGCTCACTACCACAGATCATGACTTGAAAACTACAATAAAGCCTTTAAGAAACCAAAAGTCTTGTCGTGTCAGAGCAAACACTTTGGTTTTTAACACTAGAGACAAGAAAATGGGGAACCTATGATATACAGATGCACAGGGAATAGAATTTTTTCCAATGCTTCCCATGAGCCGTCTGTTTGTTTTGTTTCTGTCACATCTGTGAAATGAAGTGGCTGCAATGGAAATCTTTTACAGTGAATACCACATCTCGCTTGATACCATCCAGCACTTTTAGGCTGTATCTACACAAGATTTTGCTTAACATTTCCCACCATTCTATAGTATGGTGCTGCTTCTGTGTTGGGAGCACTAATGTAGACCAGCAGCCGACATCTGAACCATCATGTTGTCTTACCCTGCTAGAACTCACAGCACTGCTGCCACTGGGGGAATAGCGCTGATGGGAAATTTTAAGGAAAAATGCCTAGTGTGAACAGTCCCCTATAAGAAAAAATCCAGTCTTACCTCGGCTTCATATTGCACTCCATCCACAATGTGCTCAGAACCTTGGCCTTCACAGGAGCCCCAGTGAATGTGAAACTGAATCAGTCTGTAGGTTCCCTCAAGCGCTCCGCCCCTCAGCACTGCAAACCAAACAGCCTCCATTAGTATTTGCCTCACCTCCTTTGTTATGGAGCCTTACTCTAAAACAGAACACTGAACTCCGGGCTTCTAGGGGCAGGTCTACACTACAAACTTGTATTGGCACAGCTGCACCTAGTCTATACCAGACATCTAAAAACTTAAATGGCTTTAATATATGAGATTCATCAGCAATTTACCAGCCATGCTAATAATACAAGGTGACTGGATTTAGGAAAGGTTTGTGAGAAACTTTTCTGTCACAATATAATAAAAAATTCTAAAAAGATGAATAACCAGAATTCTAGGGCCATATAGAAAATGTTCCACCAAAGCACTCTTAAAGGCCTAAAAGTGTTTGCCTTACTCATGCAAATTGCCCTTTCATTTTATGCCATCTATTTAGGCCTTAATCCTGCAAACGTCATGGTGCACAGCAGGGAGCCCAATGTTGCTGTGCTCTAGTGTAAGTATGAGTAAAGGCCAGCAACAGGCACATATGAGGTTAAACACTAGGCATAGCCTTCCTCACTAAAGTGAGGTAAATCTCAAGCCTCTTGTGTTCCCTTCTCCATTAGTCCCTCCCAAAATATTGGTAAAATAAGGACTGGCACATGAGTCAGGTCTGAGGAGAGACGGGTTTGGAAATGAGGCCCCTATTTGGTATTACTCTTGCTACTACAGTAACTAAGTCCTAGTGTAACCAGAGCACTCAGTAGCACTCTCAATTATGCAGGATTGGGCTCCCTGAATTCCCTTTCCTGCTCATTAATTTTCACCTTGTGTTTAGACTCCGAACAGCCCACCCTTGTGAGATGCAGGATCAAGCCCTGAGCCTGGAAAATGCTCAGGGCAGGGAAACTGTCTTCATGTGCAGCACCAAGCCCGAACAGGTAATAAGTAATCCTATTGAAGTTAATGGAGCAAATCGTGTGGGTAAACAGAGAAAGGTTTAGGCCAAATTGTTCTTCTGCAGAGCATTTAGGCCTCACAATCTAATTCTTTGTTTAAGCTGGCATTATCTGAAAAGCAAAGGTATTTTAGGAATAAAATTTAAGATGATATAGACCCTAAAACCCAATTTTGTACTTGCAAAGTGACAGAAACGTGCTATATGTTACCATAAAAGTGCCTGGATTATGCATCACAAACAAAATAGGTCAATGGAATAAAAATGCTTTTCTCTGTTTGCAAACAGTCCATACCCAGGACTGTGCCAGTGTGTGCATGTGTGAGAGTATGTAAATTGATTACAGTAGGCCACTATCTGTTCAGTTTTGGCTAACTTTGACTATATGCAAGCACAGACTAAAATAGCCATTGACAACTGGGGCAGGGGTAATTACAATGATGTGAAGGGAATGACTCAAGACTTTAGCCACAAGAAAATGCAATTTAAGATATACACAACAACCTTTGCATCCACTGTCAAGGCTACAGCTTTGTAGGTATAATATTAGATTTGAAAAACTTAGGTACAATGGGCAAAATATACCCTTTGGGCTAGAGTCACAAAAGGAATTAGGTACCCACAGTAGCAGTTAGGTGCCTACATCCCAAATCGGAACCCATTGGCAATCACAAAAGCTCCACTCCACTTCCACTGAACCTGTAGGTGTTTAAACATGGGCACACAACACAAGCTCAAGTAAATGTGAGCAGGAGAAAATTGCTAGCTGGGTGTGGGGTGAAAAAGGGAACAGCCAATCTTTGTCACATGTTCCTGTCTCAAAGCAGCATGTTCTATACAGCAGTAACTCCTGTTCTGTGGCTAAGGCTCATGTGACTACATGATGATGGGCTACAAATGTGATTTTTTTTCTATTCAATGACAACATGAAAGATGTTAAGGTACAATACATTTTGAGGCACTTCATTTCAATTTAGAAGTGGGCACTATATTTTTTCTGTATTGAGACAATGTTGAGCAGATTTGAGATTTATTATCAGTAATGATGATGATGATGAATAATACCCTGAGCAGTTACATAGATCCCAAAGCACTTTACAAAGGAGGTAAAAGTGCTTTGACTCGTAGGAAAGTTTAATGATCAAATCCTATTCACATGGGTAAGGCGAGAAGTCCCATTGATGTCACTGGGATTCCTTGCATGAATACATTAAACTGGATTTGGCCCTAACACATTTCCTGGTGAGATCGTAGAGTGTGTAGAACTAAAAGGACATTTTGTTGATTAAGAGAAATCTACACAGTCAAAGGCATCTGGTTACATGGGCCAGGCTATTCTACTGTAAAAGAAGTTTTACTGAGCAGTTACCACTCCCATATTTACTTCAGAGCATTAGCAACTTTGGCCTAAACTGTGTGGGTAGCATTGATGTTATTTAGAGAAGAGTCAGGTCCTTTATGTGAAGATTTGCAGGAATACTGTGGCTTTACTGCTGGGATTCCAAACACTGATGGGATGTATTCACTATAAAGAGCAAGCCCTAATTTATCTTATTCAGGGAAACGCTTTTCTTGGAAAGAATCCAAATGGCTAAACTGCAAGATTCCTTCAAAAAATAATTCAGACATTGAATGAAATCCTCCACTTACACAAATCAAATTGGTAGGAAATAAACTATTCTAAGGCTTGTTAATCTGAATAAATGCAGAAAAAGGGAATACTCCTCAAATGGAAATGAGTAAAAATGGAACATTTTCCTATAGCTGAAAAAATAGTCATCCAAGCAAGATGGAAGTCCACTGCTCAAAATCTATGGGATTTAGTGCTAATTCAGAGTCCTCTCAAATGAAAACCCTAGCAGTCACAGAACACCAATTTGGCTGAGGAGATATAATAAATGAAATATTACTAAAAACATGCTATGTTTGAACACACTGTACTGTTAGTGGATGGGGAATACACTAAAGAGCATGCTCAGGGATTCTGAGTACTTATGTAGGGGGTGGGCTTCCCCAGCTGATATACTGAAGAGTTCAGCCAGGGTGAATCATACTTTCTGTAAGGCTGCAAATACACAGGACAGAATGTCACATTTGGGGAGATGTTCCCTTTTTATTTTATCTCTCCCAAGCATCCCTCCTAGGAGAATATATCACAATAAGCAGAGAGTAAAGCAGGACCAATGGTTCTGAATGGACGGGTTCACCTTGTGATGCAAGGCTGTTGTGGGAAACCTCCGCAATAAATTTCACCAAAAGAAAACCGTGTGACAATTACTGCTGATAAACAACCTCATCTGACTCTCATAGAAGCCATTTGGGAAGCCCCAGAGGGCAGAAGGTGTTTTGAGGAGATAACATAAAAGAAATTAAACACTCCCAATATGTGCCATATTTGCACAAACTGTATATTAGCAGTGTGACAGTGACGGTGACACACCCTAACTGAACTTTTAGATATGGCCTGAGTGTCAGCTAAGGATAGCTTGCCCTGTCCAGGATATAAGGCTACCCCCTGAGCATGCTGACCAGAGTACTCCTCATGCCATTAGTAGTTAATGCAATTAAGAGTGTGTGTGTGTGTGTGTGTGTGTGTGTGTGTGTAGACAGGCATACATACATACACCCATGTGTATACATGTACACACACACCTCCCTACAGATGCACAATGGACTCATGGCATAAGGAAAAATCTGAAGAACATTTTCACCTGATAATCTTGAGTCCTTAAATAGGGGTGGGCTGTCCCTAGTTGACACACAGGCCATACTGAAAAGTTCAGCCCAGGTGAGTCACAGTCACTGTCAAGCTGCCTATATATATATATATATATATATATATATATATAGTATGTGCAAATATGGCACATAATGAGAGGTGTTTCATTTCTTTTATCTTATCTCTCAAAAACACACCTTCTCTATCAGGCTCTCCAAATGGCTTCTAACTATGGTTGCCAACCCTCCAGGATTGCCCTGGAGTTGCCAGGAATTAAAATTTAATTAAAAATTATATCATGTGATGAAACCTCCAGGAATGTGTCCAACCAAAATTGGCAACCCTACTTCTAACAGAGTCAGAAAAGGTTGTTTTCAATGGGTACAGTTAAACAAATTTCCCTATAGTGAAACCATTTGCAGATACAACTTATGCATATTAAACATAATATATGTCAGAAATCCCTATGAATCATTAATAAAAAAGTGAGTAAAGTGCATTGCTGTTAACATCAGAGGGGAACAGATCAGGAACACCAAGCCTCTAAGGGTGAAATTCATCAGGGCACAAGGCTCAGTGCAGCACTTAAGTCCTACATTATCCCTTAGCAAGCGATTTATATGGGTTTTAAATGGTCAGACCCTGTGTGCACCCTCTGCAATGGGGTGAATTTCATCCTGTATGAGCTGTCCTTGAATTGATAATTGCCATATTATAAGCATGAAGATGATTTTCAACAATATTGTGGTAACAATATGTCGTCTTGTCTCCTGGCAGCTGGATGTATGGAACAGTCCTAGCAACTGTTACTAAAAAAGTGTATTGTGTATTGCAAAATATTACAATAGTACCAACAGGTGCTTATTTTCCTTGACATCTGATGGATGATGAACTGAGACATAGGAAGGCAGGGTCCCTTGCCCCAAAGAGCTTACAAGTCTTTTACAACTTCCAGTAAATGAACAAATGAAAGAGGGTGAGGAAAATGATATCAGACAAACAGAACAGACGGAGATGACTGTATGCAGTGTTGTTGTAGCCGCATTGGTCCCAGGATATTAGAGAGACAAGGTGGGTGAGGTAATATCTTTTACTGGACCAACTTCTGCTGGTGAGAGAGACAAGCTTTCAAGCTTACACGAAGAAGAAGAAGAGCTCTGTGTAAGTTCAAAAGCTTGTCTCTCTCACCAACAGAATATGGGGATGATTGGCACACATCTCGTTAGCTGTATATTTTAAAAACAAGTGCTGCCCAACTTAGCTGTTATTAGTTGACTAACTTCTTCCGTTGACACAGTAGAAGCGACTCTTAAGGAGGGAGTTGAATGAAGTGAGGAGAGTTTCCTCGCACCCTATGTGCCCATTCCAAAACT